ATCCCTACTATCAAAACTCTGAATGGCCATGTCATAGAACTTGTAGACACATACAAATATCTTGGTATTTGGCTGGATAAAGATCTTAATTTTAAACATCACATTGCATATCTAACAAAAAAGCTAAAATTTACTCTAAGTGTTTTGTACAGACTGAAATCATGTTTTTCTACTTCTTCTCGTAAGCGGCTTGTAACAAGTTTGTTTTTATCACGGTTGGACTATGGAGACACAGTCTATAGATTTACCTCTCCCACTACCTTAGCTAAATTGGACCCTATTTACCATGCTGCTCTGAGGTATATAACAGGTTCATCCTTTAGGACTCATCATTGTACTCTATACACCCTTGCTGGACTTACTTCTCTCAATGTTCGAAGAATGAAGCATTGGTATATTTTCATATACAAAGCCATTTTAGGAAAATTACCATCATATATCTGCTCCAATTTCATTTCACTACAGAACACACACAGTCTCAGGGCCAGTAGCTGGCTGAGGTTTAAGGTACCCTTTGTACGCACAGAGTCAGCAAAGATGAGTTTGTCCTATTTCGGCCCGTGGTCTTGGAACGATCTGCAACTTAAGTTGAGGTTAGAGTCTTTTATTCCATTAGCTAGTTTTAAACAAAAATTGTCTGAGGTTTTAGTCAAATCTTGTACCTGTAATGTTTAACTGTTTTGTGATTTTCTTAACTTACATTGTATTTTATGTTTTATTGATGTATGTTTCTTTTACTTATATTTTATTTTTAATGCATTGATACTGTTTTTAAGACTGTTGCTATATGTGTATATAGCCCAGGACATCCTTGTAAAAGAGATTGATGATCTCAATGGATTTCTTCCTGGTAAAATAAAGGTTTAAATAGAAGCTGCTCCTCAGTCTAGTGGTTCTACACTTAATGCTCCTCAACCTCCTTCCTGAGGGGAGCGGGGCAAAAAGTGTGTGTACTGGGTGAGTGGGGTCCTTCATGATGCAGGTGGCCCTCTTCCTGCATCTGGAGGTGTAAATGTCTGTGATGGTGGGGAGACTGACTCCAACAGTCTTCTGTGCAGCCTTCACCACTCTCTGCAAAGCTTTTCTTTCTGCAGCTGTGCAGCCTCCATGCCACACATTGATGCTGGAGCACAGGATGCTCTCCACTGCACACCTGTAGAAGGAGGTGAGGACTGAGCTTCCCAGACCAGCTCGTCTCAGCCGCCTGAGGAAGTAGAGTCTCTGATGAGCTTTCTTGATCAGGCTGGCGGTGTTGAGACCACTTCCACCGCAGATCCTCTTATGTTCAGTGGGGTGTATGTGTGTTTGTTCCTTCTGAAGTCCACACTCATCTCCTTTGTCTTCTTCACATTGATGTGAAGGTTATTCTCTTTGCACCAGCTCTCCAGGTGTTCCACCTCTTGCCTGTAGCCGGACTCATCATTGTTTGTGATGCATCCCACCACCGATGTATCATCTGCAAACTTTACAATGTGACAGCCTGGATGGGTAGCTGCACATACGTAAGCAGAGTAAATAGGAGGGGGCTCAACACACATCCCTGAGGAGAGCCAGTGCTGAGGGTTATGGTGGAAGAGGAGAAGTTGTGGATCCTCACTAACTTTGGTCTGTTTGTTAAGAAGTCTAGGACCCAGTTGCAAATGGAGGGGCTTAGTCCTAGTGTGAATAATTTGCCCATCAGGGTTTGGGGGATCATGGTGTTGAAGGCGGATGTGAAGTCCACAAAGAGCATACGGACGTAAGAGTTTTTCTGCTCCAGGTGGTTGAGCGCAGTGTGGACCACAGAGGAGATGGCATCCTCTGTTGATCAGTTCTCACGGTATGCGTACTGATGAGGGTCCTCGTTGATGTTGATGGTTGTTTTGATGTGAATCATGACCAGTTTTTCGAAGCATTTAGCGACTATCGGCCAGTGGCCCTCACCCTGGTCATTCAGACCAGTCATTGTAGAGCTCTTTGGGACTGGGACTTTTTGGGACTGTTATGAAGTGTAACCATGACAACAACATGGTTTTTACAACCGGGAGCAGTTGATTAACATCTCAGAGCTCAAATATTACCTAAAATACCGCCCCCAAATCCCAAAAGAGCTGTAAAGGAGGTGCCGTAGATGCATCTCCGTCTTCCTGGTGGAGGTTCTTGAGTGACTGGCTTCCGAGAGCTGGCAGTAAACATGGCTCATGACAACTAGAAAAACAGGATCATCCCCCGACATCTGCAGCTGGCTGTCTGCAATGATGAGGAGCTCAACAAGCTGCTGAGAGGAGTGGCCATCGCTCAGAGAGGAGTTCTGCCCAATATTCAGGTGGTCCTGCTGGAGGACTGAGAGGCCTGCTGAGACCGGGTGGATGGATTGGCATCTGCAGCCAGTTTCAACAGATCTGCTGCAGGAGATCCTTCCTGCCCACAGCCATCAGCATCTATAACAACTCTTAATGAAACCAGGATGATGAGTTACAACATTTAATTTCCCTCTGGGATTAATAAAGTATTTTAAATTTAATTTAAGTTTAAGTGCAATATGTTAAAAATAGATGTGACCCCATGCTGGTAAAATGAGTCACAATTATTAGCAACTTGTTTTCAAATTCTCCATTTCAAAAGCTTCAAAGTGACGAGTTTGGTTATTGAAATTTGCCTATTTGTCACCAGGCCTGGCGGGTTCAAAAACTTGATTTTTAAGGGTCTAGAACAGTAGTTCTCAATCCTGCATGTTTGTTCCCCTGCTCCAACACACCTGATTCAATGGCTGAATCACCTCTTCATGCTCTGCAGAAGCCCATCAACCACCCATTGATTCAAACCAGGCGTGTTGGAGCAGAGAAACATCTAAAACATGCAGGACAGTGGCCCTCAGGGTCCAGTGTTGGACATAATGTTTTCAGGAATTACATCCCTATATTTATAAAGGGGAATGCCTAAATGTCTTTGCAGTGAGGTCAAACATTATACGAAGGGATTTCTCTGTGCTGCAGCAACTGGCAGAGAAAAATCGGTTCAAAAGAAATTGTAAGAGATTTAAAACAAAGGATTATTCTGAAGATATATTTGCTAGAAACGTTTATTCAAAGGAAGATTATATGCTATCAAAGTTACTGAGATTGCCAGATGGTGTTTTTATGGACTCACTTTTAGGCAAATCTCAATTATATATATATTTTATTTTTTTTTATCTTTTATTTTCACTTATTTTGTACTTCAGCCTGTGCTCCTTCAGATTCATTTTGCCAAAAGGAGACGCATATATTGGAAAAACAAAAAGCTAACCCCAAAATAACTGGTTTCATCTTTTGTTTCACATTATTTAAAAAAAAAACAGCTATTTAATGAAGTTACAGTGAAGTCGGGTAGAAATTTGATATTGATACAAACATAAACACATGCTACGAGCTATCTTGTTCAATATTTTTTACTATGCTCTGAAAAAAACCCTTTGGAGTTAACATGACAAGAAAGCAAATCTGCAAATGATCCGTGATGCAGTTATCACCTGCTGCCTAAAGGCGAAGGCGGACGTTAACGTTTTCACCGTCTGCGTGGTTGTATTTGTTACCAAAATATCTCATGAACTGCAAGTCAGATTTTAATAACATTTTCAGAAATTAATCTTTGGATGATTCTCTACCACTTTAGGTACTTTATTTCAAAATGGTTATCACAACCAAATAATCTTAAAGAACACAATTCAGTTCAGTTCAACCTTTATTTATACAGGTTAGTCTCATTGAGCCTCGAGGACTCATTTACAAGAGAGACCTGATTTAGACAAAGAATACATGAGGTACAGACAACCGTAGACAATCCTATAAAAAGCTTATACAGTAAAATTAAAGTACATTGAAGACATTAAATGGTAAATGGACTGTACTTATATAGCACCTTTCTATCCTATCAAGACACTCAAAGCGCTTTACAACAATCTGTGTCCTCATTTACCCATTCATACAGCTCTATACTAGATCTCTACAAAGATAACTGAACAAATCATTCTATAGAGACTAATCAGAGCTTTATCACATTCATACACTGATGGGACACACATCAGAGGCAGTGAGGGGTTCACTGTCTTGTCCAGGGACACTTTGGCATGTGACTGCTGGTGGATTCGCACCCGCAACTCTTATATATGTCTCATTTATATAAGAACGAGAGAAAAACTACATTATAAAGTGATGCAAAACACTAAAAACACTAAAAAAAAAAACCCATACTCTGTCTGAGTGACAGCTTGAGGTGTATGATAAGATTGTGTAAATTATATTTTCAAGGTTTGTCCAAAATCGCTGTCATTTCTTAACATAAGATGATCTTTGTGTGGTGGTGGGCGATACGCGAAGAAGTGTTGGGCTTTTTATCTTTTTGTGTTCTAATTCCGTTTTTTATTTGTATTCTATGAAAAGATAAACAGAAATCTCTTTCTCAACACAACACTGCAGAAAGCCAAATGCTACTCGGCTGTCTTCCACACAAGTAATTTCAAAACGGATAGCTTGAGTTTTCATAGTTCTTCATCGTTAAGTTCAACAACACCCACAACCAGGAACTGTCTCTTCTATGAACCCATGCAATCTTAAGATTTGTGGTCATTGGTGAAATGAGCTTGTTTAACCATTTGTTGTACAACCTGTAGGCAACATTATGTGACCTCTGGTGATCTGAAAAGGCACCTAATGTTTTAATACTCAACTGAGGCTCTTGTCTTCAAACTAACCCTTACATCTTCTGTTTTCCTTTTTCAGTGTGAAAGGTGACGGTGAACTGAAATGTAAAACATCGTACCCTGAACTGTGAAACTTTTCCTGGTGCTAAGATAAGACATAAAACAAGGTGTGTTCTTCCCCACACAGTTTTTGTTAATTATGGTACATTTAAGGTGGATTCAAGCATTTTGCATTGATTGAATGCCATTTTGCTCGTTATGGCTTGCTTTGCCTGTTGTTCTTTCATGCGTCTGTGCTATTTTTGTTTATATTTTTTATTTTCTTGGCAGTTGTGGAGTTTTTGAAGCCAAACAACAACGCCATGTTTTACGGTTCTTCCTCCGGGGCCAGTATGTCCCTTCCATCCAAGAGCCGGATAAAACGACAGAGTAGGACCTTCACACAGGTACACACACAAACATTAACACACACGCTCCAGGTTTAGGGTTAAAAATACATTCTAGGTTAATTGAAAGGTAAATCAAGGGGCAAAGATTAAATGTATAAATGAAGGGTAGCCAAACAAGCTCACTGAGAAGTGCTATGTGCCAGAAAGGATCAGGTTTTTACAAGTTTAAAAGAAAAGTGATCCGGCTCCACCCAAAGATTAGTTCTTCCTTTGCCTTTGCTTCACCTTATTTGCAGGTTACAGCATCATCAGCTTCACTGTGTGAGTGTTTATGAAGCATTCACACTATTGTCATCTATTTTTCTTCCATACATTTTTCAGCATCTTTCTCATTCCACAGTTTTTGTTCTATTTCAACAAATCATATATCAAAGTGCTCGGCTTGTTCAGGATAATCCTGCTATGACTTTTGGTACAGCATTTATGCAACTTTAGCTTTTTGAAATATTTAGCCTTTTCTGCCACTTTTTTTTTTTCCTCATAGAAAATGAATTTAATCATTTTCCATCCTTCAAATCTTTAAATCTGTTTACAACCTTTTACTGCTCCTTGCTCATTTTGTTCTTCTTCATCTTCTTTCAGCTTCCTTGTGAATTTTTTTTTAATTCAGCTACTTTCAGCTAATGTCAGCTGTTTTGTGCTCCTTTTTGCTTTTTTTGCTAACTACAACATCGTTGTGCTCCTCCCAACTTTCTGCTAATTTCAGCTTGTTGTGCTCCTTTCGGCTTATTTCTGCAAGTTTCAACTATTTCTGCTTTTTCAGATACTATT